CCGGGGGCAGCGGCCCAGCTGGCGGTAGTAGTCCCCCGTGCTGGGCTGCTTGCTGAAGGCGCGGGGCTTGCGGCTGGAGTCCTGCCTCCGCAGCCCGTTGCGGCCGTCGCGGGAGCTCAGCTGCGGGAAGACAGCCGGCGGGCTGGGCTTAAGGCACCTGTCCCTTTGGCCTCCCACGTCCCCCCCCCCACCCCAGGTCTTCACCTCTCGGGGCTTGCGGCCAGCTGCGGTCCCAGACCCTCCTGTTCTCAGAGTGGGGATGGGGCGAGGGTCATGGGGGCCTCAGTGAAATGGCAGGATAGGTCATCAGTAGGCCCAACAAGGAGGGGTTCTGGGTAGGAGCCAAGGGGTGCAGGGGCCCCCAGTGAGGTTAGAAGGGGCGGGCCTAGGGGCGGGGTGGCCAAGCCCAAACGCCAGGGGGAGCCGGAGAAGGGGTAGCTCCCAGCTTAGCCACCACTAAGGCCTCAGCCGCACCCCACTCCCGGACGCCAGACAGTCCCACACGAGCCCAGGGCTGCCGTGAACCCTCTACCAATGCGGTCCTGCCCCGAGGAAGCCCACTCGAGAGACGGTGTCCTGCTGGGCTCCTACTTGCCCAGGGACCTCAGCCGCCTGGCGTGGGGCTGGGGCTGCTCCTACCTGCGACTGTGCTGGTGGCCCCGCTGTGCACCTGGTAGCGGGGGCGGCATGGACTCCACACCTGTGCTACCTGATCCTTCCTCTCAGGTTACAGCCCAGCCCGCCCGCCCAGCTTCACCTATGAACGCCTAAGAGGTCTGTCAGCCTGACATCACCCAGGGCCTGACAACCCAGGGCTGAACCCCCCTAGCAGTAGAGAAGGCCACGGGGGCTCCAGGCTCTGCCGCTGTGCCTACCCTGCAGGCCAGATGTGACCCCGTCCCTTTGAGCCTCTCTCTGTCCTCTCTGTGCTGAGCACCCCAGCCAATATCCTCCCTACTCATGCCCTCCATCCACCAGAGACAAAATTCAGGCCTGACCATAGGAAGCCCCCATATTTGGCTCCCCGGAGGTCATGCCCCCGCCCTTCCCCTCCCGCATCTGGAAACCATCGCTGTCCGTGTAAAGGGACACCGACACCTGCGCCCAAGCCTCGGGTTTCAGGGGTGGCAAGACGGGCTCGGGTGACATTGCGGGTGGCCCGCGTCGTGGCAGCTGCCCCCCACTAAGCCCAGCCCAGGGAAGAAAGACATGAGGCGGCGGGGCCAAAGGCCAAATCAGCTGGCTGGGGCTGTCCCCTGCCCCACCCAGCAGCCCAAGCGCCTCACAGTGGCCCTGGACCCTCCAGTCCCCACCTAACCCAGCTCACGTTGCAAGGAAACGCGACACCACAGGATTTGTTTTCTGGGCCAGCCTGCCCCCTCAGCGCCCCCTGCAGCCCCCAGAGTGGACATCAGGGCCCTGCTCTGGCCTGCAGTCAGGCAAAAGCTGGCCAGAGGGCGGGAGGCTGGGGGGCATGGCGGCACACAAAAGGCCCTTTGTGGAGCAGCCTAGCGCCTGCGGCTGTGCACGCACACAGGCGGGAGGGACACAGGACTGCAGTCCTGGTGCTCTGGCTCAAGGGAAGGGAGGGGAGCAGGCCTGGCCACCTGTCCTGTGGCTTGGGGCAGGGCCCGCAGGCCTGGCCTGAAAAGTCCACTGGCCATAGGCTCCCTGCAGGCCTCTCCTGGGCCCCCTCCACCTCCTGGAGATGAAAGGGGAACCTGACAGAACCTGCTCTGAGGTGGCATGAAGGTGGGGGTGGCAGGGGGAGTTGCTGTGGAGCTGTGTCCTTCCCCTCCCCCACCCGGTGGCCTTGTGACCCGAGTCACCTGTGGGAGTTGGTTACTCAGCTTGGCCCCGCAGCAGCTTGCCTTGGGCTAGAGCGAGAACTACAAAGTCAGGGTTCCCACAGGACCCTAGGGGACCTCCATCCGGGTCAGCCACCTGGGCTCTCGGGCTGCCCTCCCCACTCAGACCAGCCTTGTTCTGTCCTGTTGGCCAGAACCCCAGGGCTCCCTCTGGGCCTCCCTGCCCTGAACTCTCAGAGCTGTCCAGACTGGCTCTCTGCCTGCTCCCCGGCTCCCTAGCCTCAGCCAGGGTGGGACAGGCCCTGCCTCCTGGGCGCCTCACACTCGAGTGCCCACACTGGACCCTTCCCCTCCCCACAAGCTTTCTTCTCCCCGAGGCTCCCACCTCAGGACTGGCTTTCCACGCACCTGGGAGCTGAAGCCCAACCACCAGTGGGAGTGAGGTTCCTGCTAGTGCCCCCTCCCCTGGCCTCCACTGCACTCCTGGCCTTCACCTTCACACCTCTGGCATCTCCCACCTGGAAGATGCTCCCTTGGGAGCCATTCTCCACCTAAGCCCGGAGCTGGGCATGTGGACGTGTGTGTGGAGGAGTTGGCACACGTTCTCTGCCGACTCCATGACCGCCCTGCCCCTCTGTGCAAGAGGTGGTGAGGACCCAGCTCCCGGAGAGGCGTGGCTCCACCCCTCCCCTGCCCTGCAACTCCCCAAAGAGGGGTGGCTTTGTCTTCCTCATCTCCTTGTCCCCAGTGCTCAGCCCTGAGCCCCCATGGGGCTGACCAGAAGTTTCGACTCCTGAACAGGCCATTGGCCTGGGGACCCCCGCCCCGTACCTAGAAGCCAGGCCAGCCTTTGGCCTCTGCTGCCCCTACCAGCCCACTCCTGAGCTGGGAGGCAGGGAGGTTGCTGAAGGTTCACTACCTCCTTCTTGAAGGCTTCGGTCTCCACGTGGCGGAGTTTGTTCTTAGTCTGCATGTAGATGTCAGCTGCGGGTAGCCCCACAGGGGGCTTGGGAGCAGGGTAGCCCGGCGGGGTGGGGGCAGTTGGGTGCCTGGGGGTGGGGGAGGCGGAGGGAAGCTGGGTGCCGGTGGAAGTGCTTTGGGTCCCTCCATCTTGCCCTGGGGCAGGCCCGGCTCTGTGCTCAGCATGTCCACGTAGCTCTGTATCTCTGCAGCTCTTGCGCTGGGAAGCCCTGGGGAGAAAAGGAAGGTTGGGGTTGGGAGTTTGCAGAGAGGCTGCCCCTAGGACTGAGCCCTTCTCCTTCCTGGAAACGACCTGCACCGCGGGGAGGCAGACTCAGGGTGCAGCTTGGCACGGCTGCACTGTCAGCCCCCCAGTGCTGGGCCCACCCTTACCCTGAGCCCTGCCCCACCCCCCTGAGCCCTGCACCTGTTGGGAAAGACCTGCGCTTGAGTTTGAGGAGAGCTAGCAGGGGGCCATAGGCTCCAGGACGGGCCTGCTGAGAGGTGGCTCCTCAGGGCAGATCTGTTAGAGCAGGTGGCAGGAGTCTGGACGGCCACACCCCATCTTTGCAGGGTGCCCCACCAGCTCCGCAGGCCACCACCTGGCGGCATGAAGCAGGCATCGCGGGTGGACGGACACGTATGCTCAGGGCGCGGTCAGCATGTGTGTATTGGAGTGCCTGGCTTCTGCCTGTTTGTGCATCTGTGTATGTTTGTGAATGTGTACATATGCTTCTTTGTATTTATGACTGTGTTTGCCTTGGTCTGTGGACCTAGGGTGTGTGAGGGTGTTGTGTGTGTGCGCAGGTGCACGTCTGCAGTATGGAAATGGATGGCTGTGTGCCTGTGTGTGGTGTAGATGTGCGTGTTTATCTGCGTGGCTCTGTATGTGTGGTTGTGCATTCATCTCTGTATATTGTGTGTACACATAAGTGTGCATTCTTGAGTGTGGGTACATGTGTGTAAGGTCTGGGGAGCATTCCGTGCATGTGTGAGTAATGATGCTGAATTGTGTGAGGGGTGTGTGTGGCTTTTGTTGGTGGGAGAGTACGTGTGGATGTTCAGGTATGTTTGTGATGGACACACACAAGCATGAGTGTTACCTGTCCTCGCCAGAACCAGTGTCCCCTCCTGGTGACATGTGGCAGCCTCCAGTGTCAGCTGTGGGCAAGCAGGCCCAGGGATGGCCTGCAGGGCCCACTGGTCTGGCTCTAGGCTGCCCTCCCTCCTCCTTCTTCCCAGGCCCACTCACCACGTTGAGGGCGCCGGCCCTTGATGCTGGAGTGGCTGGAGGAGCAGGAGTCATAGTTGGAGAGGGTGCTGGTGGGCGAGCTGAGGTCAAAGTTAGGCGGCTGGACTGACATGGTGGTATTGGGCGAGGACATGCCTGAGTCAGGCTGCTTGGTCTCCAGGTCAGCGGATGGATCCCGGGACAGCACGCGGTACTCCACGCTCTGAGTGGGACAGGAGGCCATGAGGGCAACCCCGCTCCGAAGTCCAGCACAGGTTCTGGGCCAGGGTCCTACTCAGGCATGCCCTGGCTGTGTGACCCTGATCAAGTCACCTCCCTTTCTGGGCTCCCTTCCCCATCATCAGAGGGTCTCTTGGATTCTTCTTAGGCTAAGATTCAAGCCCAGCCCCCAAACAGCAGGACCACGGGTTCCTGGGAAATTCCCAGCCCTGGCCCAGGCCTTCTGGAGGGGGCTGGGAGGCTGACAGAAGAGAGGGCGCTGGGCTGGACCCTAAAGGAGGACAGCCACGGCACCCGCCTTCTCCTTTCTCATCCACAGGCAGAGGACCCGGGTTCCAGGGTATCTGTGGCAAAGGGGGCTCGGGGGCAGCAGCTGGGCACAGGGGAGGGGTGCCAGTCCCTTGAAACTTGCAGGAAAGACGGATCCCCCATTACCTGGCCTGCAACCCCCGTCTCTCCTTGCTGGACTGGAGCAAATCCTAACATCAGCCCGGCCCGTCTCCTGATGGGGCCTTTGGGGAGAGGGTGGGGCCCGGGGTGGCCCAGGCTAAGGGGGGGGGCAGCCTGAGCTCAGGCTGCCGAAGCCTGTCGTCGACCCCCCCGACCCTCCGTCCTCCTCGCCCTCCGCCCCCCGCCGTCGCCCTCCCGCCACCTCGGCCGACGACGCGGC